TTTTTCATGTATGTTAATCTCAGGTAGTTGTCTGCAGCTGTTGGTGCTCAGTCCAAAGAACACTCTTTAGTATTTTTTGGTTATTACAAATTATTTTAATTTTTGTTAATATGGAAATGTCCGAATTTCACCATTGTATTTGAGTGCAGTTTTGCTGAGTATATGATTCTTGGTTGGCAGTTTTTGTCTTTCAAAGTTTTGCATATGTCATCCCATTGCCTGCTTGCTTGCATGCTTTCTGCTGAGAAATCAGAGCTCAGTCTATTGGTTCTCCTTTGTAGGTAACTTTTTTATTTTCCTGAGCTGGTCTCAGGATTCTTTTCTTAAGTTTGGTTTAGAAAATTTGATTATGATATATCTTGGTAATTTTCTTTTGGGGTCTATCCTTTTTGGGTTCATTCAGCTTCTTGTATGCTTATCTAGTCATCTTACATGATGCTAGGGACGTTTTCTTCCAATAACACTTCAACAATTTTCTCTGTGCTTTTGATTGTCTCTTTCTGTTCTGGAATTCCTATTACCTGTAAGTTATTCCTCTTCCTGGTGTCTTAGGCTTTCTTTAAGATTTTTCCACTCTTAATTTTTGGATTATTCTTCTAGTTTAATAGTATTGAGAGATTTATCTTCAAGTTCACTAATTTGGGCTTCCCTTACTTCGAACCTACTCCTTGGCCCATTCAATGTATTATCAATTTGTGTAATCTTCTAAATTTCTAATTGCATTCTTTGTACTGTTTCAAAATTTGTCTTTATTTTGTCTGTTCTTGCATTATTTTCCTGAAATTTTCTAAAGTTGTTTTTCTGTGTTCTCCTTGTTTTCTTTAATCTTTCTGTCAACCCTTTAAAGGTACTTAAGTAGCATTCTTTTGAATTCTTTCTCAGGTAGTTCCATTACCTTTTCTTCCTCAGAAACATTTTCTGGCTCTGCATTTTAGTCTTTTGTTTGAGCTACTCTCTCTTGTTTCTTCATGTGAGCTAAAATTTTATGCTGTCTCCTGGACATTGTGAGGTTGTTGTATTTTTAGTTAATTTATGATTGTATGCTGACGTGTCCTTAAGAGTTTCACCAACTGTCTCCTGTGAGTGTTGTTAGAGAATGAAAGTGTGTGTACTGTTATATTTGCTGTTTTTGTGCTGCAGTTTTTCAATGGTGTTGGCTGCTGCCTGTCATTGACCAGGTGGTATAGGTGCTATATTGGCTTATGCCCAGTAGTTGGAGCTGCAGAGGGTATAGTTATAGTGGGGCTATATAATTGCTGTTACTGTCTCGTTTAAGATGGGAAAGAAGTGAAAAACTGCACCCCCCAAAAAAGAAACCAAAGCAGAATAAACAACCAAGCAAATAAAAAACCCTATATTTAAAAAATTTTTATGAGAGCAGAAAGCCACATCTTTTTCCTGCAGAGTGGCTACTGGGCTCAAACCACAGACCATGTTTTTTGTAGTCCAGTGCTTATCACATGGAGCCACTACACTTTGATTTAGGCAGATAGGTATGCACGTCCACGTGTACCGAAAGGTGCATCTGTATATACCTGTTTGTGTGTGCTGCATATTGTTATTGGTGATAAGCTGAGTTGGTTCTGGCTCAGAGCAACGGTGTATTGAGTTTCTAAGGAGCCAGCTGATGAGTTTGAACCATCAACCTTGTAGTTCAAACCAACCTTGTGGTCCAGTGTATATCCTACAGTGCCATACCAAGACTCCATAAATATCCTTATATATGGCAGATGACATGGGAGCATAGTTACACTTCCTACACATATCCAAACAAATTGTGAAATTGGTTTATTGGGTCAAAAGGCTTATGACCATAGACTTGGGGTTGTTGTTGTTGTCAGGTGCCATC